CGTACTCCTGGTTTACGTGTGGGTACTGGGGCCGAGGCTAGAACCCAGCAGCCACTCTTAAGGCAACTATGAGCTTCCCGGTGCACCTGAAAGTCAGAAAGGGCTGTGCAAGAGGTCCTGATCCATGTAGTGGGCCGGGTCCATGTGGCAGGAGTGGGCCAGGCTGGGGAGGAACCCGCTGCTTCCAGGGGACCCCAAAGGAGGCTCCGCCCGTGGTGCCGGGCGGCCTGGTTCTCACACTCACAAGGATTGCTGCCGTGTCCCAGGCTGTAGGAGGAGAAACCCAAGGGTCCACCAAGGCTGCGTGTCACACTTGTCCCATTTGGGGCCTTTGCTGCAGCCCAGGGCTTGCCTGACCATGGCAGGGGGCTGCGAGGGCCAGGTAATGGACAAGCTGCCTGTGAGAAGGCTGGATGGCAGCTAAGTCTGGAGTCAGGTCTCGGGGAAGGGAAGTGGGCGTCCACAGTGGGGTGGTACAGCTGGTTACTCCCTGGGGCAGGAGCAGTTTCCATGGCGACAGTGATAAACTCAGTTGAGTCCGGAAGCTTCCTGCAGGGGTGAGGGGGCAGTTCGGGGAAATTAAAGCCCCAGGGCAACAGCTGTATGTCTGCTGCTTTTTTTCCCCGGATGAAAAATTTTCTTCCAACATCCGTTCCAAAATGACAACGTCAAGGGAAATCATAGCTCCCCCTAGAGGTGAGGGTGGTGAGGTGCGGGCCCAGGGGAGACCCTGCCCCTTGGGTCCCAGCCTTGGGTGCGAGGTGGACACAGCCCAGCAACAGAGTAGTGAGGGGAAGGTGTGGCTGCCACAAAGGGGGCTGAGGTCTCCCCCGCAGGGGCCAAATGGGGTGGGCGCAACCCCTGTTCACTGATGTGTTCTTCACTAGGAATTAAAACACCTGCCACTAATTTCTCACTTCTCAGAAATGGCAGCGGTGGACACACCCATGACAAATTATATCCGCCCAGCCACAGACACTATGTGCACAGGAGCAGAGGCCATGGCCCACCTGGCCCCAGAGCCACATGTGGGGTGCACAGCTTTGCCTGGGGGAGAGGATGAGAGCCATAAGCTTCTCGACTCTGCATGGCTGGGGTCCCGGCTGGCTCCTGTTCCGCTGCTGCTTCTGCTCCAGGGCCAGCTCTGGTGGACATGAAGGCATCCCAGGCAGGGCTGGGTGGCTCCGTCTCCTACTGGCAGCCACTTACAGCCCCTCTGGGAGAACACTAGGGCTCCCTTAGTGGCCATGGGGTTTGAGCGACTGCTGATCTCGAGGTCTGTCCAGACCATGCAGCTGATCCTGCTTTTCTCCTGAGAAGGCAGAGGTCCCAACTCAGCCCTTTAAAGCGAGGGCCAGTGCTCACGGCATGTCTCCTGTCCTTAGCTGGGTGGGCAGGAAGCGGAGTGCCTATACTCAGGCCCCCACCCTGTGTGCCTCTGAGGATGGCTGGGCTATGCTGGGCTGATCTGTGGGTCCAGCTGGTGGGGAGCTGGAGTGAGGCTCCCTGGAGGAGAGGACAGTGGCTGGGGCATCTGAGTAGGGAACTGCTTACCAAAAGCAAACAATGCAGGAAGACAAGGCTGTGGGGACAGTGAGCTTAGGCTCAGTCCCAGGTCACCATCCAGTCCTGAGCCCAAGGCAGCATGCCTGAGCGCTCAGCGCTGCTACCCTCCTCACTGCTTCTTAACCCCCGGAGCCAGGAGGAAGAGCTGCAGGCACCCTGCTTTGGTGGGTAGCATGGGGACCCTGGGGGCTCAGGCTCTGGAGGGCCGGGCTGAGCAGCCTTTCTTTTGGCTGGACTGGGGTCTGCCCAGTAGGGGCAGGTGTGGGGTGTGTGTGGGCTGAGGCTCCAAAGACTGGGACCAGCAGGTCCTTTTGGAACCTGGAGAGAATGGGAGTGGGAGGGGCCCAGCTGGGTGAAGGAGACAGACTAGTCCCTAAAGGCCCACCTGTCTAGGAGAGCAAGACTGAAGAGGGATGCCAGGGGTCTCCAAGTCCAAGTGGACAGGCTTCTGCACAGGCGATGTCCCTGGGAGACACCAGGCAGGTGAGGCAGGTGGCCACTGCAGCCTTAGTGCTGGGAAGCCCTGGGGCGTGACTGGAAGGTCATAGTTCTAGGGTACTGTGCAGCTCCCCAGAGGTCTGGCCCAATGCAGAGGACCCAGAAGCCACCCCAGCTGCCCAGGCTCTGGGGGCAGAGTGCTCTGCACTCGGCCTGGATGGGGCGCACTCTGCTGCTGCTGGCCTGGGCTCCGAGGGGCAGCTGTGTCCCCCACTCTGGGCTTAAGGTCAGGCTGGAGGCCAAGCTGTCCACCTGCATCTTTAACTTCTGCAGCTCCCCTCCAGGTCTTCAGTGCTGGAGGACTCCCTCAGAGAAAAATGCGCTGTAGGGAGGGGGGATGTTGGGGGAATCCTGTCACCGAAACGGCTCAGCATGGGCAGCTGAGAGCCCACTTTTGTCAGTTAAACATGAAGGCATCAGGCAGAAAGCACCTTCCTGATTCCCTCTTAATGACTCAGTGTCTTTGGGAAAGGTGTGTCTGTCCTCCCCAGTGGCTTCCAGTCTAAGATTTAAAGTGACCAACACCAGTGGACTGGCCATTTTGTGTGGTCTGTTGGAAACTGGAAGTGTGAGTGGCACTACTCTGAGAGGGGAAACGTCCATCAAAGGGAGGGAGTGCAGTCACCTAAATCTTGAGACAGCAACCAACGCTTTGTTTTTTAAATTAAGCCAAGTTAAATGAAACTGACTTTTTTGTGAGACTGACTTTTTAAATGCAGAGTTTTATTTTCAAAGTTATAACTTTTAGTGTAAAAGTACACAAGCTTGCCAAATGCTGGCCTGTGGACAAGGACCTCATGTCTCTGACCCATTTCCTCTTCTTTATCCAGCAAAGCCCCCTGGGGTGCTGTTGGAGGTATGGTTTTCTACTAGTCCATAAAAACCTGGATGATGGCCAGTGGGGGGCAGTTGGCTGGAAAACTCATTTGTTTTTTCTCATTTGGAAACAAAATAAAACAAACAACAAACCCCAGACAGAATTATCTTAGAATTATTTTTTCCTATTTTTATTCAGGTTTAAAAATGTTTTCAATCTAATGGAGAAACTCATTCTGTATAATTCTGGGAACTTAACAAATTCCATCAGGGAATGATAGCAGGGGATATTGGCCCAAGAAGTGAACTTTGCTAACTTTGGACACTGGGTTCTAGAGCAACGCTGGCCTCTGTTCATCCTTGTCTCCCTTTGTCTAAGGCGGTCCGGCTTGCACCTTGGTCCCTGAAGCAAGCACACGGCCTTTGGACGTTCCCAAGGAGACGCCTCACCCGTCAGTGACCAGAGCCAGGACCCCTCAGCCCTGAGGAGCTCTCCTCCAGAGAGGACGTCCTCTGTGGGGCCTTGCGGGCTCTGCCTTCCCATACTCCTGGGGTTGGCGATCTGTCCCTCTGTTATGACCCACTTTGAGAAAAGAAAAGAATATGCAACCACGACCACTGAGGTTGGCTGGACGCCCGGGAGAGCCCTTCATCCTATTGACAGTTGCGGGCGACTGGCTGAGGCCGCGCTTCTGACTATCGTTAATCTTAGTAAGCGTCGACTGTATACGCTAGCACCGAGACTCACGGAGAGCAGCCACAGTCCTCCAGGCCCGGCTCGCCCTGTGCCGCCCGACTGATGGGGCGGCCCGGCCCGCGCTATGCGCTCCAGCGGTGCCGGCGCTTGCTCTCGGCTTCCGGACCCCTCGGCTGCCAGGTCCCCCCCACCACGGGGCCCCAGACACCCCCGGGCCCCGCGCCCGCCCCGGCGGAGTTCTACCCCGCAGATCGCCGCATCCCGCAGGCTCTTCCTCCCGCGGCAGCTCCCTCGGTCCGGACCCCGCGCATCAAGAGCTCCTGAGCTCCAGTACCTGCTTCTCCGCCGTGGCGGAGGCCGGAACTCCGTGCACGCCCATAACAACACCCCGGCCAGTGTCGTTGCTATGCGGCATGGACGTGTTGAAAGGCGCACAGGTGCCCAGCTCCTCAATTTTGTCCTCGATCGGCCCCTGTCATCTGTCACGTCGCCCGCCCCCAACGGCTTGCCCCGCGGAGCTAGCTCCGGCCATCGCGGCGGCGGCGCTGTGACGTCACGGTCCTCGCGGCCAATCCAAGGGCCGCGCGCGGGACGTGGCCCTCACGCGCATCCGTCGCCCAGAAGGAAGGGGCGTTGTTGCGCCTGCGCAAGGTCTCTGCCGCCGGCTCGCAGCGCGTGGAGCCTCCTCCGCTCCGTGCGCATCGGCTCGGCTTCGCCTCCCGGCGGCGGCGCGCGGCGCTCGCGTGTCATGTCGTGGCTCTTCGGCATCAAGGGCTCCAAGGGCGAAGGCGCAGGGCCGCCTCTGCCCCTGCCGCCCGCGCAGCCCGGGGTCGAGGGCGGCGGGGACCGCGGCGCAGGGGACCGGCCGGCGCCCAAGGACAAATGGAGCAACTTCGACCCGACGGGCTTGGAGCGCGCGGCCAAGGCGGCGCGCGAGCTGGAGCACTCGCGTGAGTGCGGCAAGTGAGCCGGCGAGGGCGGGGCTGCTGGACCGGGAGGCTCGGAGGCATATGGCTCTCCGTGGTCTGAGTAATCGAGCGGTGAGGGGCCATGGGCGGTCCCTCTTGTCGGGCGAGGAGACCGATCTCCAGCGGTAACCCCGCCCGAGCCACCTTGCGTGCAGAGAGGTTCGGAATCCCCCACCCACTTCTGGCACCTTCCTTGGTGCCACTCGTCTCTCAGGTGGGGAAACCAGTGCCGAGGGACTCAGAAGGTACAGGTAGCAGGTGGCGGAGCTACCCACTGATCTTCAGTTACCACCTCTTGCTGGGGCCACGTGAAACGGCCGAGGCTGGCCCGGTCGCAGGTCCATTTATGGTGGTTGCTAGCAATTTTCCGCTTAAGGAAGGAAGCATGTTTGAAGATCGTTGGCATTAAGGAAAGTAAGATAGATTTGCACGTATTACTGGGAAATGTTAGCCTTCAGGTTGGCGAGGTCTGTAAAGCAACAGGTAGGTTGGCCTTTGCCCAGCTGATGACCTTCCTGACTCAGGCCCTCAAGGCATCAGTGGTGACTGCGCCTTCATTAGATTTACTTACCAATTTTTTGATGGAGGTACGGGGGATTGAACCTAGAACCTGGTGCATGCTAAATACTCACTGTACTACCACTGAGTTATACCCTCCCCGACTGCGCCTTCATTAAACCCATGGTTTTCCTCCCAACTTTCATCTCTTCTGTGGCTTTAACGGTTTTCCTCAAGATTGTAGCATCTGTGTAAGGGTCTGGAATGTAGCACATACTGAGTAGATATTAGTTGAAAGGACACAGTGGCTCTCAAATTTGTTAGCAGAGGTGCCCTTTTCTCAGAGAAGCCTTCCAAGCAGGTATAAGAATCTTCCTGGCCTGGCACTTGGTGGCTCAGTCCCTGCCCTTCCACAGGGGCCACAAGAACATCCTGGCCAAAGATCTCAAGTCTGTTTGACTCTCAGATCCTAGGAGGGACATCAACACATTTGGGTATTTGGGCCCGGGCCCAGGGCAGCCTGTTTCCATAGACCTAGCTGGAACACTCTCCTCCCCAGAGCAGGTGTATTAAGTTTGCAGGATAGTTTCAATCATCAGGTTGTATTGAGAGGCAGTCTGGGCTTCAGGACCCTTCAGATGATGACAGACTTTTGACACATGACCTAATTTCTTAGGCTGCTGTGTGGATTTTGCCCATTCACCGTGCCAGGAATTTCAGTTTTTCTGCTTTTAGAGGCTGAATCCTGTCTCTTGGCCCCCCTAACACATGCAGTCATATGGGCCAGTGTGAATAACATTGAATGTGTCCGAGGGTAGCAACTAAGGGACCTTTCCTACTTCCTGTCTACTTGTGTCTGCAAATTGTTCCCAAGTCTCTTACACTGGCTGCCCCAAAGCTCTTGCCCCAGGACATTCTCCACCAGGGTCCCCAGGGCCTTGGCCTCTTCTCTCTGCCCCCAAGCAGCTCCTGCAGAGTTCTCAGCTGCCACCACCTAGTGACATTTCTACTTGGACTCTACCTCGTTTTTCTTCTGCTGTCCTTCCTGGCTTCACTACTGACCAGTGGGAGAGGTTTTGCTCTGGTCTGCCGCCCCTTCCTGTCCCCAGACCCTCCTTCCTGTGCTTCAGGCCCGTCTGCCCTGTAGCCCCCCTGCAGGCGTGTCTTTGGCAGATGCTCCCAGTTCACAGCCCTGGTTAGCTTGTGCCTGCTCTCATTCACCTCACTGCTGTCTCCACGCAAACCAGGGGTGTCCTTAGCTGCTCCTTGCAGCGTAACCACCTGTTCCCTGGGCCCAGCCTGATGCTACCTGGTTCCCCAGCTCTCCCAGGCCCTCCTAGGAGGCCAGAGCAGCACATTTGGCCTTGGGCTGTGCTCCTCATGTATGTACAGGGTGCCCGAAAGAGCACCTTGCCTGTGGTGGGTGCACTTAATGCTGTGGCGTGCAGTCTCCTGGTGCAGGACGAATCAAAGTGGTGCGTCAGCATTGAGAGTGTGACCTGTGATTAGTGGGACGTCTTGGGGGCCTGGGGGCCAGGCCCTGTCAGAAAGTGGTTTGCCCACTTTCTCCCTGAGTTGGGGGACAGAACTCTTCTTACTCCCTTTGCAGGTGAGGCACTCAGGGGTGAAGCTGGCTTGCCAAAGGCCACATTGTGAGTGAACAGGGCAGCTGGGACTTGTCTGCTGCACCAGGATGAGCACAGGAGCTGTTGTGCCCTCCGCCCCCGAGACAGAGTCAGCCCTTGGCTTCCCAAGCAACCAGTGCACCAGGCGGGACCCTGATGCCTTCCTGCTGCTGCTCCTCAGGGGCGGGTCCTTAGGTCCCAGGGACCCAGGGGAGGGCCTCACGGAGGCTCCAGGAGATGGCGGCTCTGGCTCCTGACCCGCCCTGAAGGGCCTCCCCAAGTTCTGAAGCTAAACAGCGCGCCCCAGCTGACCACCCAAGCGCTTAGAGCCAGTCAGTCCCAGGGGTCACGCTGTAGTTAACAACGTGTGTGCTACAGGTTAGGGATGACAGGTGTGGGGCCTGCACTTACCTTGAAGGCCTCAAAAAGTAAGATCGTGGGGGGAGCGGTGAGGGGCCGTGTGGGAAGCAGCCTGGGAATGAGGGTTCCTGCCTTCTCTCCGCGCTCTCCTTTGTGTTAGGTTGTGATGGACTGTTGCACCTGGAGGGCTGCGTCATCACAGAACTATTAGGGATGAGGTTTGGGCTTTTTCAGCAAGAAAACTACCGAGTCAGCTTTTTTTTCCAAAACAGCCACATACTGATGCACATGAGTTTCTCCTCACGAAGAAAACACTTGGAAGCCGTAATAACCCACGTGTTTCTAGCCTACGGCCAGTGAGGAGCCGTCATCCTGCTCGCTTTGGCTTCCTTCTGCTTTAATCCTCGTTTGCTTCTCATTCACCTTCTCGCCCGCGTGTTTGGTGGCAGATCAGCAGTGGGAACCAGAGGCTTAGGAGAGAAGTGTGGGAACTTGACAAATAAGGACACTGTGGCCACAGGCTTGCCGTTTGTTTAATTGGCAAACAGTCACCACGTTGACCTTCCTGCTGTCAGCGGGCGTGGGGCAGCCTCTCTGTTGGAACTTTCTGGAATGTGAAGGTTCCCTGGGGGTGAGACCTCACATGCGGGGTTTCCCGTTGGGGATAGAGCAGATGTAGGTGGCTGGATGGGGTTATTGGCCCTTGGAGGGAGGGGTCACTGAGCAGGTGTGACAGGAATGAGGGTGGCTATGTGTGCTCCTGGCTTGAGGTGGATTGTGGTCTCCCTGGACGCCCCTTGCCACATGTGTGTGCTCGCCTGGTGTCCTGATGTCTGCGCCCCCACCCCCCACAGGACACGCCAAGGAGGCCCTGAATCTGGCGCAGATGCAGGAGCAGACACTTCAGCTGGAGCAGCAGTCCAGGATCAAGGTGGGTGGCGGGTGTGTTGCTGGCAGAGGGGGCTCGTCCCCAAGGTCATGGGAGAGCCCCGGAGAGAGGACGTGGTGGTGGGGGCTAAGGTGCCCTCTTCTAGCTCCCTCTGGGAGGGAACTGGGGGATGACAGACGCAGGACCGAGAGTTCTGCCCAGAGCCTCCTGGAAGGGCAGGTGTGGGTGGGAAGTCTGGCCCCCTTTGAGCACGGAGCAAGCGCAGAAAAGGCCTAGGCTCCACCCTGCCCAGTTGGCACACAGCACAGGCACTGTGGAACGTCTCCAGGAGGGAGTGACAGCCACCCCAGGAGGCCATCTTGCTCCTTCAGGGCCCAGCCCGTCTGTTTTCCTGGCGCGTCTCTGTCGGTGGGCCCGGCTTCCGGGAACCTCGTGTGGCTGCAGCTGAGAGCCGGTGGGCCTGGGCAGCGCTGGGCTAGGCTGCATCCCTGCCCAGGGGCTACACAGACCTGTCTGGCCTTCTCAGACCGCGCTCAGACTCAGACTCCGATTCAGGGGAGGACTGCTGAGGTGGCCGGAGCTCGAAGCTGGGGTGGGGGCCATGCAGGCCCAGCTCATGGCAGCTGGTTGTCGTGCAGGAGTATGAGGCCGCCGTGGAGCAGCTGAAGAGCGAGCAGATCCGTGTGCAGGCGGAGGAGAGGAGGAAGACCCTGAGCGAGGAGACACGGCAGCACCAGGCTGTAAGGGCCTGGGTGGCCAGGGTGGGGCGCACCTGGGGTGGCCTTGTGCAGACGTCTGCAGCCCTGGGTCCCTTGGTGCGGAGCGGGACAGGAGCCCGCGTGCTTATGTGTGTTAGCGCGGCAGGTGTGGCCACGCCGCTTCCCCGGGGCTGCGGCGCCCGCGGAGTCTAGGTCTGGGCGACGGTTCTGCCTGGTCCCAGCCTCTCTGGGCTTGTCCATGATGCCGTCTCCCTCCCCAGAGAGCCCAGTACCAGGACAAGCTGGCCCGGCAGCGGTACGAGGACCAGCTGAAGCAGCAGGTGAGCTTGGCACACCAGCCCATGCGGGGCAGGTGGGAGCTGGAATCTGGGTGCTTTCCCCCTGTGGTAACTGCTGGGTCCTGGGCAGCTGCACACGAGGCACATGCACTCGGTCCTCCAGGCTCTGGCGTGCCCTGCTGCATGGCCTCCATGGTGGAGCAGGCTCGTCTGCTGGGAGGGTTCTCCCTGGAGAGACGTGACTGGAACCTGGGCAGGACAGGCTCACGGAGGGCATTCAAATGTTTGTGCTTGTCATGGGCACCTGAGCTTTTAAACTTACCCGTCAGGCAAACTGCCTGTTTTGTGAGAACAGCTGGGGGTCTGCCCTGTGCTGGGATGGGGGCTCCTGAACGCCGCCCCCTGGTGCCCACCTGTCCTGTTGCATTGAGACCTGCCTGCCGGAGTAGGGGTGGATGTGCAGACCCCGGAGTGACTGTCCCTGAGGACATGTCTGAGGCCAGAGCAGCTAACTGATTGATGTTGACTTTTATCTAATTTAAAGTCTTTTCCCTCCCCTTGTGGCTTCTCTTCAGCAACTTCTCAATGAGGAGAATTTACGGAAGCAGGAGGAGTCTGTGCAGAAGCAGGAGGCCCTGCGACGAGGTTGGGTGCAGTGGGTACCCTAGGCGGAGGCTCCTCATCCTGCAGCACCAGAAGGGTGGGGCAGTCTGGGCTCACTCCTCTGGGAGCCCGCCTGCCAGGGATGGGCCCTGGGGGTGGTCACAGCAGGCTGGGAGGTGGTGGGCCGTGGGCTGAGCACCCCCTTGGCCCCTGCAGCCACGGTGGAGCGGGAGATGGAGCTGCGGCACAAGAATGAGATGCTGCGGGTGGAGGCTGAGGCGCGGGCCCGGGCCAGGGCTGAGCGCGAGAATGCCGACATCACTCGTGAGCAGATCCGCCTGAAGGCTGCGGAGCACCGCCAGACCATCCTGGAGTCCATCAGGTGAGGCGCCCGCGGCCCCTTCCTCTGCACTGGCCCCTCCACTGGCCCTTTATCCAGCTGAGGCTCAGGTCCACTTGCTCTTCCGCTGCAGGACGGCTGGCACCCTGTTTGGTGAAGGTTTCCGTGCCTTTGTGACTGACTGGGACAAAGTGACAGCCACGGTAAATACCACTGCCATCTTACCCCGTGACGCGGAAAGGCACCTGGGCTGGGACTCTGACCTGCTCAATGTTGACCATCCCTCTCGCTAGTGCCCTCCCGCTGGAAGACGTAACTGAAAAGCTGCTGGTGGGACGTGGTGGAGGCTCCGGAAGTGGGGGTGGGGCAGAAACCCTCTTCACTTCTGCAAGGGCTCTCCCCACAGTGTTTGGTTTGCCGTCAGCCTAGGGGTCCCTCTGCTCTTCGTGGCTGGAGCTCCCCTCGTCCTGCTGGAGCGCACCCTCCAGTAGGTCTCGTTTTGTTAGAAACAAAGGGTGTTCACGATAGGCTTTCTGATACCTCGCCTGCCTGGAAATGCTTTCTGTATCCTGTGTACCTGAGTGCCAGCTGGGTGTGGAATTCAGGGTTGCAGGCCCTCCACTGGGCAGGGGATGCGGTAGGCGTCACTGCCTCCTCTGTCCTGCTCCAGGTGGCTGGGCTGACGCTGTTGGCCGTCGGGGTCTATTCTGCCAAGAACGCCACGTCTGTCGCTGGGCGGTACTTCGAGGCCCGGCTGGGGAAGCCGTCCCTGGTGCGGGAAACCTCCCGTATCACGGTGCTGGAGGCGCTGAGGCATCCTGTGCAGGTAACCGCAGGCCTCCTGGAGCTGTGCGCCTGCCCGGTTCCTTGCGGTCCTACGGCCAGAGCGCACATAGGTCCTCCTCCCCCTTTACACCAGCACGCTGCCGTCTCCTCCTACATGTTGATTTGCGTTCGGCTCTTCCTCAGTGCCGTCCCTTGGGCCCTGTCGCATCAGCACTGGGGGCCCTCACCACGGTCCACTTGGTCCCTCTGTGGTCCCCCTGGGTTGACTCAGGGTTGCTCACAAACTTCCGGGGCTCCAGCAAGCTGTCCTCCTATGCGAGCAGCTGCTGGAAGCAGCCTGGTGCGCTGCCTTCCCAGGGGCCTGGGGGCTGTGGCCACACAGGCTGTGCTGCGGGCGACGGGTGAAGGCGAGTAAGGAGCCTGTGAGCCTCGCAGCCCAGCCCCGCCGACGTCTCACCTGCCGGCCTTCTCCCTGGGGCTGGTCGTGCAGGTCCTGGGGTGCGACCCTGCGCCTGGCGGCTCTGCAGTTGACCCTAGTGCTCCCCACCCGCAGGTCAGCAGGCGGCTCCTCAGTAAGCCTCAGGACGCGTTGGAGGGCGTCGTCCTCAGCGTAAGTGCTGCTGCCCCTCCCGAGAGTGTCCCCGCGGAACGGGGTTGCTCTTCCTTCTGGAAGCTGGGTCTGCTGGCAGAGCCTTGCCTGGGAGATGCCCAGGAGGGACAGACTTGGCAGCAGAGTGTGTCCCCTGGCAGCCCAGCCTGGAGGCCCGTGTGCGGGACATTGCCATTGCCACCAGGAACACCAAGAAGAATAGGAGCCTGTACCGGAACATTCTGATGTACGGGCCGCCTGGGACCGGCAAGACTCTGTTTGCCAAGGTCAGGGCGCGCAGCCAGGGCTAGGGGGCCTGTGGGATCTCAACTGCTGGGGAGGGGTGCTATGGGCAGTGCGCAGCTTCTGGGGAGAGGGTGTTGGTGTCGGGGCCACAGTGGGTTGGGGGCAGCCCCTTCCTGGCTCTTCCAGGCAAGGGGTCCCGCAGCATGTGGTCCGGACCTCTGTGGCTGCAAGTGGCGGGGCAGAGGTTTGGACCGAGCCGGCTTTAAAGTGGGGGTGAAACACTGCCTTCCCCTGCCCACCCTTCTTGCCAGAAACTTGCGCTGCACTCGGGCATGGACTACGCCATCATGACCGGTGGGGACGTGGCCCCCATGGGGCGGGATGGTGTGACTGCCATGCACAAGGTCTTCGACTGGGCCAACACCAGTCGGCGAGGGTGAGCCAGGCGCCTCCTGGGAACGGGGGTCAGTGACTTTCCCCGCAGCCTGTCCGCGAGGTACGGGAGCCTCTTGGTGCCTCTGACTTTAAAACGTTTTAGACCAGGGGCCACCGGCCTGTCTTTAGTTCCTTCCTCAAGACGCTGGCATTTGGCAGCCCCCACCTGTAGCCGAGGTCCAGATCCCGCAGGCTGGCGAGGGCCGCGTGTGGTTTGGGGTTTCAGGGTGGTACCTGTGCTGGGCGACACCACCTCCTCATGAGGCCTTGTCCCCTTCTCAGCCTCCTGCTCTTCGTGGATGAAGCAGACGCCTTTCTCAGGAAGCGAGCAACCGTGAGTGTCTCAGAGCCTGAAGGGCCGGGCAGGCCACAGGTGGGTGGTCAGGGGCCCGCGCCAGAGCTGAGCAGAGCCAGGCGGCTTGGGCTGCGTCTGCACGTTCAGGCAAGGTTGTTGGTTGCCCGTGACTGGGGTCATGCTTCCTTCATAAACTTACAAAAGCAGAAGTTTCAAGTCTTCTTGACGTTAGTCTTCAGCCTTAAGCTTAGACGCGTGAAGACGCCGCAGTGTTTGTCTTGGACGAGCAGGGGCTGTGCCCATTTGTGGGGTCTAGCTGCTTCCTGAGCTCCACTGCTCGGGCCTGACGCCAGAACTTTCTCTCTTCAGGAGAAGATAAGCGAGGATCTCAGGGCCACCCTGAACGCCTTCCTGCACCGGACAGGCCAACACAGCAGCAAGTGAGGAGAGCCCGCGTGCAGGCCCCTTTCCAGTACCACCGTGTGGTCCTCATGGCAGCCTTTCACATGGGCCCTGCTGCCCCTGCGCGGCTGCCAGGGAGCAGAGCAGGCCCACTCCTGACCCGCGTGGGTGGACATCCCCACGTCTTCCGCCCATGCAGTGGGATGGCCAGTCGGGGACCGTGGGGCATTTATGGGAGCCACTGAGGAGCTGCACTGGTCTCTGAAGCAGTGCCGAGTGACACATGTTTGTCTCCGGGCCACTGCCCCTGACTTCAGGCCCTTGGCGTCTCCCACTGTCCCTGAAATGGGCTGTCAGAGGGTCACTCCACGACCCGGGGTCCCAGGGCACAGGTTGTCCTGGGATCAGGCTGGTCCTTCTGAACGCCCTAGTCTTGCTCCTCTGCGTTGGCCCTGCCGGTCCCTGCGGTGGTGTCCGGCCCTGCCGGTCCGCTATACGGCCACCATGCTGGACGCCACAGCCTGACCCACTGCTGGTGGAGACCCCACAGCCACTGAGACCCCCAGGGCATGAGTAGGTTCCTGCTGAGCCGGCGCCTCTGCTCTGCTGAGCCTCAGGCCCCATGACCCCTCCTCTCCATGGTGAGGGGGAGGCAGGGGTCTGTCTCAGACCCAGGTCCCAGGGTCCCCGTCCCTCCTGCACACAGGGGGCTTACGTGGCCATCCCATCAGGCTTGGCCATCGGTCAGGGAGAAGCATGAAATTGGGGCAAGACGGGGAAGGGTGTGCAGCCCAGGGCAACGTGGGGTCTTTCTGGGGTTTTTAGGGTTAAAATCTATCAGGTAGGTTCTGCTGGACAGCAGCCCTCAGCCCTTGCTGTGTCTGCGGCTGCAGGTTCATGCTCGTCCTGGCCAGCAACCAGCCCGAGCAGTTTGACTGGGCCATCAACGACCGCATTGATGAGATGGTCAGCTTCGACCTGCCGCGGCAGGAGGAGCGGGAGCGCCTGGTGAGAATGTATTTTGACAAGTATGTTCTTAAACCAGCCACAGAAGGAAAGCAGTAAGTGTCCCCGCCGGCCATGGTCGCGCCCCGCCCCAACACGCTGGGTTCCTCCCACCTGGGCGCCCGACCCTGATCCTGACCCGGGCCTCCCCATCCTGTCATCCCCTTGGCCCCCAAGCCTCGTCCTGCTCTTCCAGACACTCAGGTCCAAGCCGCCGCCTGGTTCTGGGTTGTGAGGGTAGTGAGCCTCACTCTGGGGCGGTTGTGGCCGTCTTGGTGGCAGGGCCCACAGCTGACCCTGACTCGGATGCGGGGCCTCTCACCAGCACAGGGCGAGGCCCTGGCTGCGCAGAGAGGGAGCCCTCCACCCTGCATCCAGGCTCCTGGGCACCTGGGTGTGCTCCAGATAGTCAAGGGCTGCTCTATTCTGAGCCTCCCTGGGGCCCAGCTCAGCCCTGCTGACCTGAATCCCTCCTGTCGCTGCCACACCGCCCTCCACTCTGAGGCGGACTTCGCCAGCCTGGCCCTACCTCCCGATGGTCTAGACACTGTACCGTCTGAGGTTCTTAGAGCTTTTACTAGAGTTTGAGTGGCATCTCTGGGGCCTCAGCCAGGCCTGACAGGAAGGGGTGTGTGTGAAGGTGGGAACTGAGGTTCAGGCTGCTGGGCTGTGTGAGTGCTGGGTGGGGTGTGGAGCGAGGGGACGTGGTGGGGATTTGATGGGGCGGGCTGTGGGGCCGGGTATACGGCTCCAGGGCACCCTACGCTCGCCCATCCTGAGCAGCCCCACAGCTGCCCTGGGGCAGGTCAGGTGCCTCTATCCTCACATGGCCCCTGCCCAGGCCCTACCCTAGCTCTAGGAGGAAGGTAGGTGCCCAAAGGGACAGGAGGGTGGAGCAGCCAGACCCACCACACACTGGACGCCAGGGTTCCCAGCGCAGGCCCCTGCCTGGCAGACGCCCCCGCCCTCTGTCTGAGGGGAGCCACGGGTGCCATGGACCTGGGTCTCTGTCCTGCGGGTGCTCGGGAATCACTCGGAAACTCCTCACCAGGCGCTTGAAGCTGGCCCAGTTTGATTACGGGAAGAAGTGCTCAGAGATTGCACGCCTGACCGAGGGCATGTCGGGCCGGGAGATCTCCCAGCTTGCCGTGGCGTGGCAGGTAAGTTGGAGGCGTGCCTCCCAGGCCAGAGCCGGGCCGATCCGGAGACCCCAGGGTTGGAAGGCGGCTGGCCGGGCCCCTGCCTCCCCGAGGGTGTTTGTGGTGAAGGGTTCTCTGCACGCAGGTGTGACGCGGTGTCCTACTTTCCTGCCCCAGCCACTCCCTCCACCCCCACCACGGGGAGACGGGCCAGGGCTGCCTGTGGTTTCACATATTGTGGTCCTTGCTGTCGTTCTGGTCCAAGTCAGATGAGGCTCTGAAATCAGCAGCATGTCACACGGTCATCCAGGTCCCACCAGCCCGAGCTCAGTGTCTCAGGAACCACTGGACTTTGTCCCGCGCTGGGGCCCAGGGCAGTTGGCACAGGCGACTGCAGAGGTAGAAAGCACAGGGGACACAGCTGGGTTGGGCGTGGAGCGTCCCAGGAGCTGCCTGTGGGCTCGTCGGAAGGCTCAGGACGTGAGGAGCCTGGACTGGCTGGCGTGAGGGGTCAGGCACCTCTTCCCCGGCTTCACACGGAGGGAGACCATGGGTTTTGGGATTGTCTGCTGGTGTGTGAGTGCCCTCGGGTGTCCTGGCTTTTAGTGCAGGTTTTCTGAGTCCCCCAGGTGGCTGGACTGTGGGAGTGGCTCAGGGCACACAGACTAAGTGGCCCTTGGTGTCCTAACACCCGGTTTTTCATCTGAAGCGCCCAGCAGAAGTTCCAGGGATGCTAGCTGACCCCCAGGAGCCTTGGGTGCAGCCACTCAGATCGAGTTTCTCTGGTGGTGTTGCTGGGTGGTTTGTATCTGTCGCCCTGTGACAACTCGGCCGTTGTCCGTTTGGGATGAGTGTGTACTTTATAAACTAAGCAGACATCTGCCTGGGTTTGAATGTCGCAGCCCAGTTACTTAGGGGGACCATGTTAGAAAGAGCTGGGTTCTGCTGCTGTAACAGTCAGTCCCAGGTCGGAAGCTCTGCCCCAGTGTGGGTCAGCTGGGGGTTCTGCTCCAGGCGGGCCTCACAAGGAACTCCCAAGTTTGGCTCTGTTTCCACGACCAACAAAGTGGTCAACAGGATGTCTTAGTCAGCATGGGTGCTGTAACAAAATGCCACAGGCAGCAGCATAAACAGATGTTTATTCCCCACAGTTCTAGGGGCTGGATGTTCCAGATCAGGATGGGTGGCGGGGGGTCCGATGAAAGCTCTCTGGTGTATTGGACACTGGTCCTGTAGGATCAGGGATCCACCCTTAAGACCTCTTCCAACCTTGATAACTTCCTCAGGCCTCATCTCCAGATCCAGCCGTGCAGGAGAAAGGGCTTCCGCGTGAGTTTTCAAGGGAGACACAGGCGTTCAGTCCCAGTGGTTGGAGGCGGTGGGTGCTCTCCCTGGGTTCTGGTCCTGACACCAGCGTGTATCCAGTCACTATCGGTCAGCTCCGCCTGAGGCCTGTCTCCTCCCTGCTCACGGAAGGAGCCAAAATGTCAGGGGTTCCACCACCTTGGAGAGAATGTGGTGGGGTGTCTTCCTTTGTGGCCCCAGGTGCACAGGGCTGGGCTGCTGTGGCCGCTTCTGCCCACCTGCCTGTCCCCCTGGGCTAGACGGCCCGTGACAACCATGCTCCTCCTCCCGAAGCCCGCCCTGCCAGTGTCGCATGGACCCAGTGCAGCTGCCACCCCCGTGAGATGGTCTTGCTAGTGCAGTTCATGCTTCTTACCACCTGGAGTCACCTGTCATGGAGACTTACTGCTTTTTTTTAAACATAGAATTCACCATCTCAACCATTTTTAAGGGCACAGCTCAGGGGCATTCAGCACATTCACGTTGTGAGCTGTCACCACTATCCATCTCCAGAACCTTCTCATCTCCCCAAACTGAAACTCTGTCCCCATGAAACACAACTCCCCAGCCCCTCCTGCTTCCCGTCCATGTGTGTCTGACTCCTCCAGGGCCCCGATGAGGAGTCACGCACGTTTGTATGATGTTGATAATTGGCTTGTTTCACTGAGCACCGCATCCTCGAGGTCCACCACCGTGTGGCAGGTGTCATTCTCCTTCCTTGTCGGGGCTGCCTGATCCCCCGGAGTACAGGGGTGCACCGCGGTCACCTGGCTGTCCGCAGAGGGACACTCAGCTGCTGCTGCCTCACCCAGCTGTTGTGAGTGGTGCTGCTGTGACTGTGGGTGCACAGAGGTCTCTTCCAGGCCCTGCTTCCAG